CAAATTTATACGAAGAAAAAAAGGATCTGAACATATTATATATGTGGCACAAGATATGGAACAAACCCAAGATGAGGTTTACGACATGAAAGAAATAAATGATGAACAAGAAGAAATAAGAATTCTTAATGATGAAGGACCAGAATATATGAAAACTATTCTCATTAAAACAAAGAAGAAAAAGAAAAGAAAAAGAAATATTAAAAGAAGACAAATTAATGATCAAATTGCAGAAGAAAATAATCAAGAAATCAGGGAATATAATGTTAATATGATAAGAAAAATAGCTAAGTCGCATCTACTCATAATATAGTGACAATTTAAATGCATTTAATTTCAGTGTAAAAAATGGATATGTGTGTCTGTGTATTTGTGTTATATTTCGTGTATGGATGTGATAAAATTTTTCGTTCACGATTTCTTGAATAATTCAAAGAACATTCTATTCCTACTGATGGGGAGACGTACTGATTAGTTTTTTACAAAGACAGGTCGGAGATACGAAGCAAAGGTAGAAACCGAGTTTTTAAGGAAACGAAAAATCCGATTTAAATGATTCAAAAAAGCTTTTGCTTTTTCGGACGACAAGATCGTTCTTCAAAAAAAAAAAACAAAAAAAAAATTTTTTTGTTAATTCTCTTTTTTTTAATATCGAAAATAATTCGAATCGAATAAATAATTTTAACTTTGCCATTCAGTTTATGCAATCCTTAGAAATGCTTTTCAGGCAAACATACTCGTATTTAAACGTCATCGTCCAATTTATAAGCACTTTTATTTTGTCTACAAATTCCAATGATAAAAGTTACAGTATTTATAATAATATATTTGAAAGCATTCAATAGTTTATCGGATATTTCATTACAACACGGGAAGTTCCAGCAATTTGCCTTAAGGCACGATACACCACTAGTTTTAGGCATTTATAAAATTTCAAACTCCGTGAGTTTATACATATACATAACTATAAAATAAATATTTTCGCATTCAGAATTTCTGAAGAATCGTTTCGGGCGCATCGCGCACTGCTTTGCGACCGAACGAACTCTACGCAATTGCAGGGTACTATTAGCGTTACGCGCGGGTGTACTGACTCCGGTTTTTTCAATTTTCCAATGTGTTCCACCAAATTGATTTGAACAGTATTTGCAGTACTTAAAGAAGAAACGTTAGGCTTTCGAATAATGCTAATTAGAAAGTGGTCCAACTAAACGCACTCTACAAAAACACCAATTGAAAAATTATTTTGTCTTTTTCAGCTAATAACAAACAATTTTTTAGCATCGATTATTCTACATAATGTGGTCTGAGTCAATGTGAAAAGAATCACGTAAAAATATTTTTGATATTTTTTGTGGTCATGCGAAAAAGTGAGTTTGGAAGAAGGGGCCACTTTGGCTTATTTTCAATTATATTTCGGCCATAAGATGAGGTACAATGTTGAAAATTGGTATATCTGCTTTTATCATTTAGATCTATAAAATGGCGTATAAATTATTTAAATACCAGGGTGGGGGCGATTCTGTATGGCAATGCGCCCATAAATGTATGTAGAGATAAAAATAAAATTATTATAAGATTTTTTCAGAGCACATATATTTGTAAACATATTCTAACAGTAATGACACTTTTGAGGACAAAAGTTTTTAAGGGCCGAAGGAAGAAGAGATGGAACTCATTTTTTTTTTAATTTTTTTCTTAATTTTTATAGTTTTCCGAGGACGAAAAACTTTTGAAGAGGGATGTAATAACAATTCGAATCATTATTTTGTTTAATAATTGCAATGCGCGTTGCTAGTTATTTGTAGGTAATGCGGTCATCATAAGTGCTTCCTGTTATATTTTGTAATTAGGTTGTAAACAAGAAGTTAGTATATAAGAGTTAGACAAAAGTTAGACAGGCAGTCAAACTTGGAGTAAGACTCGGGGACAAGCATAGAGTTAGTCAGACATAGTATTCAGTAAAATGTAGTCTTTGCTGATATGATAACCAAAAGGTTATCAACAAATATTAATTGTAAAAATAGTGAATAATAAAGTATCATTTGAAGAAAGAAGTGTGCTTACAAATTACTATCAAATCGCTGTTCGTCCTAAAGGCCTTTCACACTACCAGTGGACTCTGGAGAGTCCACATCACAATTATAATGCTTCAACAACTATTCAACTGTTCACCGCTCGGGTCCAGACTACCATTACAATTTCTGGTCGTACTGGTGATCCGGAACATACATCCAAAGATATTACCAACCAGCCAAGACAGTTTGATATATATACATATATATATATATATATATATATATATATATGTGTGTGTGTGTGTGTGTGTGTGTGTGTGTGTGTGTTAAAGAAGTTAATTTTGATTTTGAGAAATATGAATAAGTTCAAGAGCAATACATCAAATAAAAGGCAAAGATTTAGAAGTTAATCTTTAATTTTTCCAAACGTTTTGACATCGGATTTTATGTCATCATCAGTGGATATAAATATGGTCTTACATCAGTAACTTGCGCAAGGCACATAATTTTGCACTATTATATATACACTAACTTGTTTTTTTGTTTTTTGATGAAAGGAGCATAGCAAAGATTTGTGCAAGAATGAAATGAATTCTTGCCTCGGAGTCATATTCACAAATACTTTGCTATGCTCCTTTCAACAATTCATTCATCCTTTCTGAAGCGGAGTCAAATCCTAACCGATCCGGCTTCGTATATTATACGCCCTCTTCTAATTTATATATATATATATATATATATATATATATATACATAAATTGAGAGGTTTTTTCAGATGGTGAAATAATATAATAAAGTTGTTCTTGGACGTCCATTCATTAAAAACCAAAATTTGATGGGTCAAATCAGGACCCGAAACGTTTGATAATAAAACATTTTACTTCTATAAAATAGTTCTAATTAATGGATAGACGCCCAAAAACAACTATATATATATATATATATATATATATATATATATATATATATAATATAGAATTTTATGATATGAGTGGAACGAATATTAATTGTTTAATATGAACAAAACAGCACTCAGATTTGTTTAACACAACTTTATTTTATGATTACAAACGTTTCGAGACCATGGTGTGTCTCATCTTCAGTGTAATTTCAAAAACAGTTACTTATATACTACACATTCTTTAATAATTTATTTAAATTTCATTTAATTTTTGATATACAAAAAACATCAACTATTCCTTGCAATGCTTGACACAGTACTAAAGAAACATATAACACTTACAGAAATATTCTAAACAAATTTGAAGTACTTATCTAGATGGAGACAGAATGGGTATCATTATAATGTAAACAAAAGGAGTGCTATCGCATACAAAAATCGATAAAAATGAAAAAACAGATTAATTTATTGAAAAGAATAAGATAAATGAAAAAATTTATAAATTATTAATGATGTTTATATAAGTGTCATGTAAAATATTTGTGTCGGTTCTTAGATTTATGCTATTGTTAGTCCGAACTATTAACATTGATTCTGCCATGCTCCGTTTAAATAAGTCTTTCTCATGGAATAAAATTTGGGGATTGTCAAAATCAAACTTATGGTTGTTGATATTAGCATGATCCACAAGTGTACTTTTAAATTTTTTGTTATCTATTTTTTCACATTGTAATTCATGTTGCCTGAGTCTCTTTTCTAAGTTCTGGCAGGTCTGGCCAATATAAGAGCAATTACAATCCAAACAATGTACTTTATAAACTATATCTTTCTTTTTTGTTAATGGAGTTTCATCTTTAATTTTGGAATATAAAAATTTTAATAGTTTTAATGAAGAAAAAGTAATATGAATATTGTGTTTTTTGAAAAGTCTTTTTGATAATTGGTTAAAATTATTGTCAAGATATGGAAAATTATTGAAAAAAGTTTTTTCAGGAACACTTGTTTTGCCAGGCTCTTCCGGTTTCTTATCAAAAGGTTCAAGTAATTTTGCGACTCTATTTTTAATAATTGGACAAATTAACTTATATGGAAAATTATTGCCAAGTAGGATCGTTTTAACTAATTTTATGTTTGTATCATAAAACAGAGGATCAGATAATAAAATAGCGTGATCTACAAGATTTAGAATGGTAGAAATTTTTATATTGAGAGGAACATGCGAATTAAAATTAATGTATCTCCCGGACCAACTATCTTTCCTGTACCAGTCTGTATAACATACACCGCCTCTATTAATGAGTTTTACGTCAAGAAAATGTAACGTCGAATCATTTTCAAGTTCCTGAGTGAATTGTAAAAAAGAATTGTACTCATTGAATTTGTTGAAAACATTATCTATATCTTTTTTATTAAGTAATATTAATGTGTCATCGACATATCTGACAATAGAGCATGGCAGAATCAATGTTAATAGTTCGGACTAACAATAGCATAAATCTAAGAACCGACACAAATATTTTACATGACACTTATATAAACATCATTAATAATTTATAAATTTTTTCATTTATCTTATTCTTTTCAATAAATTAATTTGTTTTTTCATTTTTATCGATTTTTGTATGCGATAGCACTCCTTTTGTTTACATTATAATGATACCCTCTCTGTCTCCATCTAGAAAGTACTTCAAATTTGTTTAGAATATTTCTGTAAGTGTTATATGTTTCTTTAGTACTGTGTCAAGCATTGCAAGGAATAGTTGGTGTTTTTTGTATATCAAAAATTAAATGAAATTTAAATAAAGTATTAAAGAATGTGTAGTATATAAGTAACTGTTTTTGAAATTACACTGAAGATGAGACACACCATGGTCTCGAAACGTCTGTAATCATAAAATAAAGTTGTGTTAAACAAATCTGAGTGCTGTTTTGTTCATATTAAACAATTAATATTCGTTCCACTCATATCATAAAATTCTATATATATATATATATATATATATATATATATATATATTATAGTTTTATCGAACATATAATTTTCTCTACACCAAGCTAATATATTTTTGTATCTTTTTTAGCAATTCGGTCCTATTTTGGATGTAGAAATTATTTTTAATGAGCGAGGATCCAAGGTAAGCAATCAGTCTATTATAATAATACGTGTTAGATCATCAATATTTTAATTAGATATTTTAAAATATTTAAATATGATTTATTGAATTTTCAACGTGACTTGCCTAGAGTTTGATTTGCATTTGAATTTGTGTTTTAAATGCGAAGAACGAATGATGTTCGTCACTTGATTATTAATGCGTGAGACTAATTTGAAACGTCCGGAACTCGAATGCGTTTAAAATTCAATAAATACAACCCCTTTTATGGAAGCTACGCAATAAGAATAAAAAAGTACGCGTTTTGTCAAAAACTTTCATTGTATTTGCTTATTTGTCTTGAACCGGAAACGTCTTGCATACGTTCTTTCACGAAGCGAGCTGTCCACATGAAATTCTTGTTTTGTTGTTTCCTGTCCGAGTGATGTGCCTTCGCGTGAAGATGATAATAATGAGCATTTGCATTTAATCTTGAAAGCCCTAAAGTGATAAAGTCGTGCGTCAAAAAACATTCAAATGCATAATTTTAACATTTAAAAATTGTGCTAATTAATACAAGGAAATGCATTCAAATTATCTTACTACTTATGAACTTATTGAAAATATATGCGTCTTTAATCATTTAACTTTGTACTTTGCACATGTATATTAGCGTTATTAATACTGGAAATATCTCAGAAAAAATGTTAACTTATTTTTTTCTATTTTCTATAAATATACACTACTAAAATTATCTTACGATTAGTAGTAATTTGAAAACAATAATTTAAATAGATATTAATATCATATCGTGGATATTCGCATACAAAGAAAAAACAATCCAATAAATCATCTTTGTTTTTTTTTGTTAGATTTTCAAAATGTCTAAAAATATTTGAATATGCGACAAATTATATCGATACATTTTTTGGAGTTAAAAGACGTATAAGAAATAAAGTTTGGTAAAAAAAGAAAGCTTGATTTTTTAGTTTCTATGCGATAGATAGTTAATGGATTTTTGTACGGATAACTTAGTGAGCGATTTACTTGAATTATCTTCAGACGGCACATTACTGTAATCTCTACTATTTCATAAATATACCAACGCGCAAAACAATTTCTGCGTTCTCCTATGCTCCTTTATATTTGTTTCTTGATATGATTATATTATTTGTTTTATTTTTTCACAGACCTAAGTACCATTTATATTAATTCGCCTAATTATAGTACTATACTTAATGTTGTACTATTTGTAATTTTATTGTGTATAGAGTATCTGCCTTGGTAACCAATTAAAATAATTCATTAACCCCATATTTATTATTTTTATTTTCATTAGTGATCTAATAATATTGCCAATTGCGTGAAGGTTATGGGACTAAGCGAAGGCCGTGCTTTAAATTTGTTTAGTTTTCGTTATTTTGACTGACTAGCATGGTATTTTCTTATATCGCTGCATATATTCGGAGAACGCAGACACTGTTTATATTTTGCATACCTAACATTCCTTACGTCTGTTCTGGGATGACGATGGTTCTAATCGAAACAACATTATAGAAAACAATTCGATTTATATTCAGTAAAAATCATTAATTTATTCATTATTATATTAAATACACCATTATATTATTATTATTATTATTATTATATCCATTTTTATATCTATATATAATTGTATAGACTATTTTCATATAAATAAAATATTTATGCGCATAATTTTATTTCATAAGGTTCTAAGAACAATCCGGGTATAATTGCGTAATTTTTTTCCATGTTGTTTTTTTTTTGTAGAATTTTTACTGGAATTAAAATATTAAAACCATAGTAAGCATCGTCAGCTCAGGTCATTTATAGCTCTTGAATCAATGTCGCTTAAAGTTACGTTTGCGAACGGATTCTTTGCACGAGTATTTGCTTATTGCACTGTTTACTCCTTATTTGTGAGGTCGAACAGATCATTTTAATGTTTTTTTTTTATCTTTTTTCTGTGTTTACGGGCTATACTTAATGCATCACGTTTTTTATATTGCTCTGAGATTTTTTTTAAATTTCAGTTGCGTACAGTTTTGTTTATTCTATAAAAAAATACAGACGCAGGTATGTGTTTGTTTTCATTTAGCGTATGTCGTTCTCAATTCATTTAATACAAACCGTTTGCAAACCTTTTGCGATATTGCTTCAGTCTTTAGGCTCGTTTAATATATTTGAAATAAAACACATCCTTATCCTAAATAATTCCTTTTAATTCATCTCATATTTAATGTTAAATTATTTTTTCTTAGTATTAATGATATGTACAATTAATAATTTAATCATTTTGCTTCAAATATTAGCTATAGTAAAACCAAATACCTTCAGATAAATTTTATATGTTTTTTTATTACTGTTTCTAAATATTTACATTGCGTGTTTTTATATCCTTTCCTTTATTCCATAGATACCACCGTCTCGTTTCTGTTTTATCAGAATAGTTTGTACAAAAAACACTCTTATTTTTATTTTAATGAATAATGATTAAATCAGCGATTGACTTTTGGCATGTGTTAATTGTTCGTAAGGGATAAATAATACTCCGTCTTTGAAAGAAATACCTAGACAAAAACGAAAACCTTTATGAATAAGACCAAATTTATCTAATATATATATATATATATATATATATATATATATATATATATATATATATATATATATTCAAGGGCAATACATCAAATAAAAGGCAAAGAATGAATGATCATTCTTGCCTCGGAGTCATACGCAATAACTACCAAGTTCGTGCAAAATATATTTTATTTCACAAATACTTTGTTATGCTCATTTCAACAAAAAACAAAAAAAACAAGTTAGCGTATATATGATAGTGCAAAATTATGTGCCTTGCGCAAGTTACTGATGTTAGACCATATTTATGTCCACTGATGATGACATAAAATCCGATGTCGAAACGTTTGGAAAAATTAAAGATTAACTTCTAAATCTTTGCCTTTTATTTAATGTATTGCCCTTGAAGATCTTACTCATATTTCTCAACATCAAAATTAACTTCTTTAACACGCACACACTCACACACATATATATATATATATATATATATATATATATATATATATATATATATATATTTTTTCTGTACCTCGAATTGAATGATTTATGAAATAAAAAAACGCGTTACATAAAAAACTTTCCTCTTGGATTGCTTTAAAATTAATAAACAATACAGCACATGCTATATCATATTAGACTGATATCTATCAATCATCGAGACTAACTAATATCTAACCAAAGTAGATTCGTGGTAGACACATCAATATATCATATGCATGATTTTATTGCAACTTATTATGAGCTGTTAAACTATAAGTTTAACTGTTATTTTTCATTTTAATTAAATTTTTTGTATTTTATTACAATATCTATACAATTAACTACATACAATGAATCAAAATATGTGTTTGTCTTAGACGCTGAATGACTAGATTATAGCATTGTAGAAATCACGCGGTCTCCAGTTTAGAGTTTGTTGACTATGTGTACTAGTGTGCTTTTGTATATGCTAATTTCTATTAAACTTGACGTTATCAATGTTATAAACGTGAAATCTAAGCAAAGCGAGACTGTGGTATCACTTCCCTTGAAGTTAATCAAAAATGTATTGATAAATTTCTTACTGGTTTTAATTTGTAAAATATGATATTTATATTGTATATGTGCACATAAGCATATAAGTGTATAATTTTGGAGTGCGCGCAATTGGCGAAAAGGGTTACTTCATGAATATTCCTCATAATTCATTATATTTTATCGGAATTTCAATACTCTGTTTATTATATAAAGGTAATTAAAACAATATTTTATGGATAATGAGGAATATTATTTCATTTGACCGATGATATGCCGGACGCTGCCTCCTTAATTTTTTTACGATACAATTTTTTTTTTGTTTTATATAAAATACATCCTCCTGTCGACTTACACTGTTGATGATTTGCATGACGTTTTTGTCTGTCTGCATGCAGGGATTCGGTTTTGTAACTTTCGCAAATAGTGGTGATGCAGAGCGGGCACGGGAGCGACTCCACGGCACCGTGGTTGAGGGCAGAAAGATAGAGGTGTGCATGAGAACTCTATTTTTGATTTTTCATTAATCTTTTTTTTTATTTTGATAATAATTTTAATTTTTGTTTATAATTTTGTTAATTTATTAAAACATTTTACCATTTCAAACAAACAAACTTGATCCTAAAAATAATATCCTTCCTAGTTATTATTTTATTTTATTGTGCCAAAATGATCAAATATCCTATCGACTTATCCAGATAAACCAAACTGTTTCACCGGCCTTTCTACGAAAATGTTATGTTTTTGTACATAGTTTCTTTGGCGATAACATTTGTCTATTCCTGAATTATTATTTTTATCAAATTGATTTTATATTGAAATATATGTAATAAAAATAGATTTTTTTTTTATATTAGATGCTTATTTTATATAATTTCTAGATATATGAAAGTACTATAATATATTGGTAATTCTAAAACAAACACATTGATATTTTTTAAGTGTTAGTATACTGTATTACGCCGGGTCATGAAATTTACCGTCGAATTGATTTACCATTACTTCCTATCCATTCACCCGGGGCGAGCATGTTAGGATCAAGCTAACTCTGCGATAGGCGCAACATTCTTTGACACAGAACACCAAACATTTTTTCATGCGAAATCCTTTTATTGCTGTCATTATTTAATGACATATTGAAACTTATTGATTCATGTTCAGTTATGAAATACAAAAATTACAACATGCTTCCAAAGATCATTTAAATTCTACAGTTGGAAGTATTTAATGTAACATAAATTTTTATTCGGTATAAATTAGATATGGTTTGCCTATATCTAATATATATATATATATATATATATATATATATATATTATTAGTGATATGCCGACTCGGAAAATTCCCGATTCGAATGATTCGAATCAGAAAAAAACCTGATTCGAATCAACTCGAATCAAGTATATATATGGACAAAAAAAATCATGGATGTATTTATTTAGTAAAAGTGATTCAAATTTATAATCAAAATTGTTAGTTTAACCAATATAACAGACAAAGTAGAAATTGTAAACATAAATTACTATCAAAAAGTATATTCTGAAAATTATTAAAAAATTTTAAAGGCGGCTTATACATATCTACAAGTTGATTTACAATAATAGATTACCAAACAATTGTGCATCACTAAAGCATATAAAATAATATTCGGAATCAGGGGTCAATTGTTTATTTTACTATATAATCAGTAAAGGATCGCATCTAAACTGAGAGCTGAAAGTTAATTTCATTAATGTTAATTTGCCATTACTTACATAATCAGAAGTTGAATATAATTTACTGGCTTTCTGGTGTTAATTGTTTCAAAAGGGTATTATATTGAAAGATTCCCGAAACTCGTTTCATAATTTTGAGTGGATTGTTTTGATAACGTTTAAAATCTAAAACACTTAATTATTATTAACATTGGGTATTGATGCTTCACGAACATAATCGCTCTCAGCGCTCTGTAAAATAAATAAACACGCAAGAACGACGACGCATTGTATCTGTTTCGAACTCATATCGCAAGTCGGATTGATTCGGTTTGAGTCATATGAAGTCGATTGAAGTCTTATCGCTCGAAGTCGGAATGATTCGGTTTGAGTCATATGAAGTCGATTAAAGTCTTATCGCTTGAAGTCGGAATGATTCGGTTTGAGCCATATGAAGTCGGATGGTATAGTTAGTTGATGAATGCGGTTAAAGTCATATAAAGTCGATTGGAGTCGGGTGATACATTTAAGCGTATTGAAGTCGGTTGGCTCGCATGATTTAATTCATGATTATTTTTTATATTTATGTCATTTATGTTATTTATTATTATTTTTTATATCATTATAATATTGAAATAAATTAAAACATTTTTTATATTAATGAAAAAATTGTGTTCATGCATATTTTATCACAGTAAATATTTCGCGGCTTGATACGAGTTGATACGAATCAAGTAAAATCTGATTCGAATCAAGTCGTTAAAGGCTTGATTCGAATGATTCGAATCAAGTCGTTAGGGGCCGTTCAAGTATTACGTAAGCACTATAGGGGGGCGGGGGGTTATTGATTTGCTTATTTTGTTGACATGGGGGGCAGGGGAGTCTAGATGACGATTACGTCATGGGTAGTATTTTTATTTTTTTACCGAATGGCAACCTTACATTGTCTTCGCTTGAAATCGAAACGCGTTTTCTGGGATTCCCGCAAATAATGCGTACGGTTAGGCACTCGCTTTAGAACCGAGTAGGGGAATTACCGCGCGCTATTCACTTGTCTAAATTTTCTCTGTTAGTGTATTGTTTCGTTTGGATCCTTTAGCTAAAATACGTCTATTGTAAGCATAGCAAAGCAAGTTAACATTTGTGTCGATTCCATTAGCCAAAGTTTAATGTTTAAATAAGATGTCGTTTCAAATGGACAAATTCAAGGTATACCAAAAATTGTTTGAAAGTTTTAAGAAATCTCATACAAGTACGAAAGTACAGATTGTACAAAAATTTAATACCATATCAGTAAAATCTCTACATCCTAAATCTATTTTCTTATTTTTAAAATTATAATTATAACCTAATAATTGCAATATTTAAAAAAAACAATACATTAATTGCAAAATGTTTACGTAGCCATGGGGGTAGGGGGTAAGAGCTTTGCTTACTTTTGTTGACAAGGGGGATGGGGGGTAAATAATTGTAATAAATCTGCTTACGTAATACTTGAACGATCTCTTAAAAGCTATTCGATTGATTCGAATCACTTGATTCGACTTGGCACATCACTATATATATATATATATATATATATATATATATATATATATATATATATATGATGAAAGTTTTGTCGACGTTGATACATATTTGTAAAATTTTTTGCAGCCCAACCGTCGAATTAAAAAAGATTAAATAACAAAATTATTTATTCCATTATACGTTTCGACACTTGATGTGTGTCATCATTCAGTAATCTAAAATTTTTAGATTACTGAATGATGACACACATCAAGTGTCGAAACGTATAATGGAATAAATAATTTTGTTATTTAATCTTTTTTTAATTCGACGGTTGGGCTGCAAAAAATTTTACAAATATATATATACATATATATATATTCAATAGATAAGTCCTGGATTTTTTCAATATATTGATTGTTTCTTTTCCGAACAGTAAATCCAATAATAAAAAACAATTTGTTTTTTGAAGATGTTTAATAACGACGTTTTGGAACTAGGTACGTTCCATCATCAGGTTTATTCTGTCAAATACGATGTTTTTTAAAAATATTGATTAACATTAATTAATGATGGTCAATACAGATTAATTAGAAAAAAAATTTATAAAGGAATGGATTATGTACCGGGGTAAAGAGTAATAAGAATTAACTAAAAAAGGTTTTATATAAAATTGAGAAGCAAAAATTATTTACCTGTAATAATTTATATATCTATATCACTAATATTTTTTTGTTAAAAACACTCGATTTTTTTGGAGGATATTTGTAGATGTTACGACTACACAAGACTTAAACACACTGATATGGAGTTCTGTCGGCCAGATGTAAGGGACAACGTACGGAATTCTTGGCAAAAATGATTTTTTTTGGCTCTTGTATTGGTAATTTACGAAAAAAGAGGAAATATTGCTTTAGTAAATGTTGAGAAATATTATGTATATATATACATGCACATGCATATGCACACCTACATACTCATACATACATATGCACATATCTATATATTAATGTATCTACAATTATATACATGAACATATACGAAAGTGCATGTATATAGTGTACACACAAAAACATACATATAAGCACATATAGGATGTGCATATATTATAACACATATACATGTATATATATATACATATTCAAAAATTATTAGGATTAATTGTTTTTAATTAGGTTTAAAAATTTTAGATATGAGTCATGAATGATATTGTGATCTGATCTTTTATTAACACTATTTGACGAATTCAAAAAGATTAAACTGCTTTCAGAAAAAAGTCTTTTAAAAGTACAATCCTTTTATATAGAGAGGATTGTACTTTTAAAAGACTTTTTTCTGAAAGCAGTTTAATCTTTTTGAATTCGTCAAATAGTGTTAATAAAAGATCAGATCACAATATCATTCATGACTCATATCTAATTTTTTTAAACCTGATTAAAAACAATTAATTCTAATAATTTTTGAATATGTATATATATACATGTATATGTGTTATAATATATGCACATCCATATATGTGCTTATATGTATGTTTTTGTGTGTACACTATATACATGCACTTGCGTATATGTTCATGTATATAATTGTAGATACATTAATATATAGATATGTGCATATGTATGTATGAGTATGTAGGTGTGCATGTGCATGTACATGTATATATATACATAATATTTCTCAACATTTACTAAAGCAATATTTCCTCTTTTTTCGTAAATTACCAATACAAGAGCCATAAAAAATCATTTTTGCCAAGAATTCCGTACGTTGTCCCTTACATCTGGCCGACAGAACTCCATATCAGTATGTTTAAGTCTTGTGTAGTCGTAACATCTACAAATATCCTCCAAAAAAATCGAGTGTTTTTAACAAAAAAAATATTAGTGATATGGATATATAAATTATTACAGGCAAATAATTTTTGCTTCTCAATTTTATATAAAACCTTTTTTAGTTAATTCTAATTACTCTTTACCCCGGTACATAATCCATTCCTTTATAAATTTTTTTTAATTAATCTGTATTGACCATCATTAATTAATGTTAATCAATATTTTTAAAAAACATTGTATTTGACAGAATAAACCTGATGATGGAACGTACCTAGTTCCGAAACGTCGTTATTAAACATCTTCAAAAAACAAATTGTTTTTTATTATTGGATTTACTGTTCTGAAAAGAAACAATCAATATATATGTATATATATATATATATATTCAATAGATAAGTCCTGGATTTTTTCAATATATTGATTGTTTCTTTTCCGAACAGTAAATCCAATAATAAA